TCATGAGGTGGATAAAGGCGTGAAAAAAAGGATATTGCCTTAAAATTTGATATTCCTCCAAACAGCTTATTAACCATAACAAAAAAAATCGTGATAAGATACAAAATTATGATTCATCGAATTCTTGTTCAAAACGTTTAAAAGCATGTGTCTATGAAGATGTGGATGAGGCAGTTTTGAATTGGACAGTGTGAAAAATAAAAACAATACAGCAAATGAATTGCGATGAAGACGAAGATGATGAAGATGGAAATGATCGCGATGCAGAAATCAACAAACCTTCGTGTGATAAAATGCTAAAATTCATTAATTTTAAAATAAAATTATTTTTTTAATTGAAAATACAGTGTATTCCCGGACAATGGTTTATTTTATTCTTGTTCTCCTTGCAGATTTCTTTTTGATGGGTAAAATATATAAAACAAATAGATATTAATGTACAAAATAAAGGTGTGATTAATTACTTTTTTAATAATATTTAGTGTTTATGAATTTAAAATCTGTTTTGAGTAGTTTAAAGTATTTTAAAAGGTGAATCTCTATTTAAAGAATTTTCCATATAACGAACTTTTTTTCGGGATTTAGCGACTTCGTTAAATAGAGGTCCGACTGTATTTAGCATATCTACCAAGTCCATGAATCGAAGACTCATGATAAAGGACTAGTGGTGCATTTTCTGATGATCCAAGTGTCACGGAACACCTTGGTTGAACCTGAGGTAATTGTCTGATTCATCTGTAAGATATGGGGAAAGGTTGCTTACCTGGACGACTATCAGGGGTAATTGGCCCACATTTGCATTTCTCTAGGAGGAAAACTTTCAACACCCATCCCAACATCACGAGCAATGTGTTTCCAAAGGAGCACATCGGTTTATCGGTTTTTTTGTTAACAGCGCATCCAGTGGATAGAACCAGGGCCGGATTATTAAATAGGTAAAATAGGCAACTGCCTAAGGGCCCCGCAACTTTAAATTTTTTTGCGGTACGTTCAGAATAGTTTAATTTTGTGTTTTTATTTAATTTACAAAGGCCGTGCATTCGAAATTATTCAAAAGTAAAAATTAAATATCATTTATATTTTGGAGCATTATTCTAACACCTTTCCTATTTAATTATTTTTGCAAGTTTTATATTATG